AAACTCCACATTTTCAGGTACCCGTTGACGTGTGAAACCTCTGCAGATCGCTGCTCTAAAGCTGCCCATAAACCTTGCGATCATCGGACAAAACCTTTCGTCCGATGATCGAACCGTCATGTGATTTTCGTACCGGTGGCCCCATCCTGCCCCGATTATCGCATGGTTCAATCAGCTGTAGTAAAAAAAAAAAAAAGCACCTGGATGAATTGCGGTAATCGACCGCACGTATTTTCGTCTGCGCATAAGCAGTGTAAATCGTATGAACTTTGACGTAAGGAAACGCCAACCAACCTTGCGAAAATCGTACGATCGACCGAAGTTTTCTAACCTGCCGGAAAAGTCAACCGATTGTACAGTATTTGCGGTTGTACACTGCCCATCAACCTTACGGAAACGCAATTGGCTGATAATCGTAAGGTGTATGGGCAACTTAAGACCAGCTCATGCAAAAGGAATATTCCTCTTTTCCAATAATAAATGTTACATGTATGGCATTTGAGCATCTTTTGGGGGATTTGCAAAGTATATGTTTGCAGCTAGGAATGCACCGATACTTTTCAGATACCAGTGCCGATACTTGACATTTTCACAAGGACTACCAGGGTTGTAGCGGTTGCAGCTGGGACCTGGCTCTGGCGCTCCACCACTGTCCTGAAATCATTAGTCTGTATTGTTTTAGAGAAACTGTCACATGACAATAAACAAAAGTGTATCTGTGAGTACTTGGGGGAGTGTCAGTAATTGTACTCTCAAAACTGGTATCGGTGCTCCAGGAGCTCCGTGTGCTCCTTACACATGACAGCGGCCTCCTAACGTTTTACCTTTTTCTCTAGTCTAATCTTGGAGCTCAAAGTATCTGTACTTGTGCCGAGTACTGTACTTGGTATCAGTACATCCCTACTTGCAGCCAAACAAGGAGATGATCCAGCATGATGCAATATAGACTAAGCGGTACTGGAAACTGTTCTTCAGTTATAGTTGAACTCAAGTTATAATTGCACAGCCGCCCAGATCACTTGTACAAAACGGCTCCCCCGCTCTACATTTAGCCCTGGTGCTTGCCCAAAGCAGGGCTAAATGTAAAAAAAAAAATACCTCTCCGGCGCCCAGAGCTGCATGTCCCAGGCGTCAGGCCATAGGAATGCCACACCCCTGTACCTTTTTAACCTTCCTTGTGAGACACTGGGCTCAGGTTTGCACTTTGCCATTGGTTTTGGCCTGACAGTGGAGAAGGAAGAATTGCATTTGAATTTCACCCACTCAGCCAGCCAGGCGCTGCAATTCCAAAAAAATATATTAAGGTGTTTATCCTCCATGCAGAAAGCTGGATCGTACGGACGTCCTGGAACACGCAGAAGGAATTGCCCCAGGCCAGTTTCATGAGAACAGGCCATGCTTGTGTACAAAAAGAAGAGGCTTTTGTTAGCATTTGTGTTCACCAAATAAACATTTTTACTGACGTTGTTAGTAATTAAAGCTACAGGACCTGTGAATTAGCTCTCACTGTGCTTAGTGTGAGACACATAGGGTAAAAAAATAAAATTATGTAGAGATATGCAGCATATATGTTGAGTGTGTTGCCATGTTTTTATCAAAACAAAGCATAGTAACTCTTAGAATTGTCCCATTAGTGTGGCTGGCACATTATGATGGGAAAGAGTCAGTATAAGGCAACCTTGGCTCTCCAGTTGTGCTGAAACTACAAATCCCATAAGGCATTGGAAGCCACAGGCATGACTCCCAGAGGCAGAAGCATGAAGGGATTTGTAGTTTAAGCACAGCTTAAGAGCCAAGGTTGCCTACCCCTGGTATAAGGGGATCTGACTACCGGAGAGGTGGCTTCTACATCCCAGAGGATCTCTACTGTCTCCTTGTGTTTTAGCATCAAATTGCAGGATTGTGAATGTAAGGGCCACACTCAATGGAAGGCGCGCTCTTTATGAATATTCGAATAAGCCCGGAAGACTTTTGGCTAGGGCTCTGCGTGGTTGCCACGCAAAGCCCTTTATTTTCACACTTTAGATCCTCTTCTGGTCGTAGAGTTGCCACATCAATATTTGAAGATATGTGCAGGGGTATCGTTCCTTCTAGTCATGCTGTCTCCACTATATATAAATGACTCCTTTTGTCTCCTACCGATGTTTACCTGGCTTAGGCTGGGAGACTAAACTGGGATATTCTTTTACAGAACAGCAAAAAAACATACTATCCTCACCATGTTGTTTAAATCTTCCATTGCCAGCAAGTACCAAGAATTGGGGTACACGATAGTGTCACGGTGGGACAGAGTCCCCTGGCTACTGCATAGAATGGTCCCTTCCATCTTGGACCGATGCTGGAGATGCAGTTCAGAATCAAGTACGATGCTAGACGTTTTCTGAATCTTGCCCGAAGTTGAGACCCTTTTTGGGACCAGGTGCTGACCGTTGTAGAGAATTTGACAACGGTGGACCTGAGAGGCAACCCAGCAGCCTGTTGCACGTCTTCGAGATATGAGCACTCCCTTTTGATACCATGTACTAAATGCTGCCAGGGCATGCATCCCATTGCTCTGGATAGATCCCAACCCTCCCACCGTTCGATTGTGGCTGTCCAAGGAGGACAATATCTTTCTCTTCCACCTGAGACGCTTGGATTTATTTCAGATATTCTGAGCTCTACACTCACCTGATGGCCCATTAGGAGATTTGTGGGTTCCCTTTGTCCACTGACCACTAGGATGGATCCCTTTTCTATGTTTTGGTCATCTGGATGGTCTTGGAGGATAGCCTTTTGCCTCAGCTTGCGGGGGCTGGAGGTGATGGCCCCCACAAGTCTTTTTTTCTTTCTTTCTCTCTCCCTTCTATCTTCTCATGCTTCTTGCGCCTTTCCTTATCCATGCTTTTGTCTGGCACTTTTTCATCATGTTTGTTCTGCCCGCCGATTTTATGCCTTTTTTTCCCCCTTGACCAAGATGCTTTGTGGTCTTGCTAATATTTTTGGGCTACGGAACGGATACTCTTCATGTTTATTAACAATGTTGCCATGTTTTCTTATTGTTATGTGCAAAGTAATCTTATTCTGGGATATTCTTCGCTTTGTCTCTTTCTTTATTATGGTACTTGTGATCTGGATTGTTATTTGCATACTTTTCCCCTTTCTTCTTGTTTTGCTATGCTCATGTTTTGATGTGTTTTTCAGTCAATAAAGAATGTAAAAAGAAAAAAGATATGTTATCAGTGTACTCCACAAGCTTCTTTTCAAAGTGCAAAACTTCTTTTCTTGTGTGATCATATAGACCGGCAATGTTTCGGGACCACCCAGGGACCTTTCATATGCTTAATGGTCCCCGAGTGGTCCTGTAATGTTGCTTGTCAATGCCGGAATAGGTTCAGAACTGAACTCATTAGTGATTTTCTTTCAAAAACTGACGTTCAGCTTTATTATGAGGGTCTTTTGTAGGTCCCTGTACAGTATGTGTCTCTTAGGCCCCATTCACACACGAATTGGCCGGCACGTACAGCTCCGTGCGGTGTGCGGGGCCGTACCAAGTAGCTGCCGGGAAGGACGGGATGCGTGTGATTAGTACGCAGCCCCCGTCCTTCTCTATGGGGCTACGCAGCCGTACGCCCCCCTACGCTCACCTCAATTGCAGGTCCATAGGGGTGCGGGTGAGCGTATTCATGCGCCGCCGGAATGGATCCTGTATGCGTCCCGGCCAGAAAACCCGCACCCCTACGGACCTGCAATTGAGTTGAGCGTAGGGGGGTGTACGGCCGCGTAGCCCCATAGAGAAGGACGGGGGCTGCGTACTAATCACACGCAGCACCTGTCCTTGCCGGCAGCTACTTGGTACGGCCCCGCACGGAGCTGTACGTGCAGGCCGATTTGTGTGTGAATGGGGCCTTACTGTGGCTTCCTGGATAATGTAATTGATTTGGTTTACAAAATGGCCACCACGTTGAATGAGACATGCCACATCGTTTGGATTTTTGTTTATTGGCTGTCATCAGCGGCTTGTCAGCTACTGATGATGGCTATTAATTTACAGGGGACCGTCAGGGGCACCCTTCTTTATAAGTTCATGATTGCAAGAAGCAGAAGGGTGAAAGCCTCCAATGTATAGCATACTGAGCTGGCCAGGTGGATGTGGTTGTGTTCCGTCATGTGGCAGGGAAAGTGTTAAGCAAACATTAGGGGTCTGTTAGACCCCCCCTAGTCTCGCCTTTCCAGTCCAACGATGCTTTTGGAGTGCAGATTGTTGCTTCTTCCTGGCCATCTGAGGGGCTGCAAGTGATGCAATCATCATCCTTTCCAGCCCCATTAAGCGGGGAGGAGATCGGCAAGCGGCTCTTGCTAACGCCCAATATGCCAGTCCAGGGCCCGCAGGTAAGGGCAGTGGAGCCCGGGAAGCAAGGCTGGGGGGGTGTGCACTTCATGGCCCTTGGAAGCGACTGTCGGCTGTAAACAGACTCCCAGCTGCTAGTGTGTGTGAAGGGGCCTGCTGCCAACGACGCATGACGTACGCCAGAGGCAGCAAAAGGGTTAAAGGAGAACTATGAGATGAGTGATTTTCACTCACCTCATAGTTCTAGCCGACCTGTGACAATGAGACTGTCACAGGTCGGCTCAGTAGATCGGGAGGTGAGCGAACACTGAGCCCAGGGTGACGGGAGGACGCTAGTTTGTGTCCTCCCGTTACCCTAAGGAGAACTATGGGGAAAAACACTGACCCCATAGTTCTCCTTTTTAAATAGAGCATGCCAATTTTTCTGTTGCCAATCATGAATGGCAGCCTGCATGAAACGTAGATTTCTATACCGTCCGCTTTACTGTACTGATGGCACATTCCATGTGACAAATAAATGGAGTGTTCTGTATTTCTCTGATAGTTGCATCATTTGCTGTGTCTTGCGATGCACATTGTTCATAGCACGCATTCTGTTGTTGTTCAGTGATATGAGCTTCCTGTGCATTCTGCTTCTAATAACACACATTTTTTTTATTTCCGCTTGTAGATATGACCACATCTTGAAGTGGGAACTCTTCCAGCTGGCAGATCTGGACACATATCAGGGTATGCTCAAGCTGCTTTTTATGAAGGAACTGGAAAGGATAGTTAAACTGTATGAAGCCTATAGACAGGCGCTGATCACCGAGGTGGAGACACGGAAACAGAGACAGCAGTGGTACGCTCAACACAACAAGAACTTCTGACTGCCCCCCCTTTCCTCTCTCTCCTCCTGAGGACTGGAAAGTCACCTCTCTTTGTCACAGAGGGGGGCTGTTGTGCCTTAATGGCCCATTCCACTATCAACTGTGCTTCTAAACACTACATAAAGGGAATGTCGCAGTTAGGACTAGACACCAGAGGCGGCCCGCGTGTCAGTCCAGTGCTGCTGGATGTCCTGAAATGAGCATATCTGGGGGTCTGGGCTCCCGAAGGATGGCCAAACCTGGAAGTCTAGGTTTTTAGTCCTGCAGCCTCTACCCACACCCAACCATGCAGCCATTGTATCATCCCAACCCAATAGGCATGAGACTGAAACCATAAAGTGCTCTTGAAGTGGACGTGAACTCTAAAATGAATTGTCCTTTTACATATGTAACCCCACATGTGCTAACAAGAAGTGCCTGGAGGAGCTGAAAATGTTAACTTGAAGTGCATCTGAAACTTTCTTATTAGTTTTGGAGTTGAGATTAGACCCTCTGCCTGGGTTTTATTGCTCTGTCCCTGCCAGTCAAACTCACCCCATTTGTCTTGATTACCATTGTCACCAGGACAGAAAGTGATGGAACATTTGAAATGTTAGAGTTGTCACCGAAACAGGAATAAAGGGAAAATAATGCAACGGGGACACTTGTTATGGTAACAGCGAAAAGAGGATTTACCTTGCTTTGAAAAGATTTCTTTTGACTTCCTGTTGAGTCTGTAGGAAAGGAAGTGAGGAGAAATCTGCAGTTGCTGACCTCTTCTAAGAATGCTGCTTGCTCGGCTGTCATTCTGTTCCATTGACTTTCATACATTGAGGTACTGCCCTGGGCCAAATATGCAGATCAGGGGTTCCATTTTTCTTTCTGTGTCAGTGATTCAGAAAGTATTAAAGCCAAAGACAGCCCAGGAAGTAGCATTTTTAAAAGAAATGGCTGCTGAGTCCATTTAAGTAATAGTAAATTCAGGGATTGGTACTGTGATTTGGCTTGGAAAAACCTGATTGTGATGTTGGACCATCAGATTGGTGCAGAATGTGTCCAGCCTTCAAACTGAATTACTCTCTGATGGAGGCCACCATTGCCTGACTCGCAAGGCGCATGCTAATTCCAAGGACATGCACATGACAAATTCCCTTTACCTTCTGATCAATGGGTGCCAGACCTCTGTCCTATATGAGAGATGCCTAGAGAAAATTTGGCTGTCATACTTGGACAAAATGGCTATCAGTCCTTCTTCACATCTGAGATGGCTGGCAAAAATGGCCGTCACATCTGAGGGATACTTGGACAAAATGGTTGCCAGACCTTCTTCACATGTGAGATGGCTGGAAAAAAATGGCTGTCACATCTGAGCGATACTTGGACAAAATGGCTGCCAGACTTCTATCATGTCTTAGAGATGCCTAAACAAAATGGCTACCAGACCTCTGGCATATTTTAGAATTACCTGGAGAAATGGCTTCTAGACCTCTTGTGACATATGAGATGTCTGAATACTTTGACATGTGAAAGATGCTTGGACAAAATGGCTACCAGACTTGGGGGGGCTGACGTATAAAAGGTTTGCTCAGCATACAGCGGAGAGAAGGCCATTCGCAATGCATTATAGCCACTAGATGGTGCTAAGGAGCCTAGGAAATTCCTATGCACCATCTATAGACTGTAATGCCATGCAAACTGTGGTCTCCCAGCTATACACCGAGCAAACTTTTTATAGATCAGCCACTTATTGTCATATTGGTGAGATTCCTGACAATATAGACCCCTGTCCTGTAGAGATACCGACGCAAAATGGTTGCCTGTTCTCTTGTCCCACGTGTCTCCCACGTGAGCGATGCCTGGACCAAATGGCCGTCTAACCCTTTTTTCTTCCCAATACCATGAGCTAAAAGTCTTCACTGATGGAACTAGAACTGAAGAGGAAGCCTTGCATTGGTGTGGAGGTGTTTATTGGTGATGCAGTGATGTCATAATATATTGGCTCTCCCACAGTTCTGAATGTCAGTGCGTACAATCCGTAACCAAAAACTTTCCCCTGGAGGAAT